TCAAGGATCAGAGCTGGGAAGAGCAAGTATTCATTACTCGATGATATATATCCAGTTTTGGAAGACCCTTCCACTCCCCAGGTGGAGTTAAGTCACTGAAAAACCGCAGTCTCACAGAAGCGAGTCTTACTCCACCACGTGATTGCGTCATTTCTCAAGCCCTGCACGCCTTGGCTTACGCTTGCTTGCCTATTAAGGCAAACCTTAAAGGTTTCTGCAGATACCTCTGAGCTGTGGATAAGGAATGATGCAGGGACAAAAAGATCCAGAAGGAAAAAAAACCGATAGTTCCTCTGAGCTCTAGTTGTTGAGCTATTTCCCTCCTTTTACAGATAAGGAACTTGAGGCACAGAGAAATGGTGGGTTTCGCCTTTGCAGCTTCTCAGTCTGATGTCCGAGAAGCCAAAGTCAGGGGCACTTGAGATGTCTTCCAAGAAAAGCGCCAAGACAGCGCTGAAGTCCTACCACACGAAATGGAAAAACAAACTCAAGGTAGCCAGGTCCTCAGCCAGGGTTGGTTTTCCTTACTCCCGTCCCCTTGACCGTTTCATTATTGAAAAACATCATACTTCCGGCTTCGGGACAAAGGCTCTGGGGAGTTTTCGGACGACCAGCTCGGTCTTTGGCTTTCACAGACTAGGGAAACGTGGCCCCCACACTAGAGGAAATGGATTTCTTCTGTTGGAGACGGAATAACATCAAGTACGCGCCGCGTTGAGAGACAACAAAGGCGTAGAAGCTGTTTTCCGTGGGCCTGAGGTGTGGGCCTGCAGCACTGAACAGGGCATGGGAACAGGGCGGAGCCTCCTCATCCCCGGGGGCGAGGCGGGGGGGAGGGGAGGGGCTTCCTCCGTCGCGGGAGGTGCGGTGGGCGGGGCGGAGCTCTACCCACCTCGGCCGGGTCCCTCTACTGCGCATGGCACGTTGCGTACCTCTCTCCCAGCAACCAGCCTGCAAGCGGCGCGGCCGTAAACTAAGGAGGCGGAGCTGAGACGGGGTCTCTACTGCTTGCTAACTCCAGGATCAGGTACCGGGCTGGCGGGGCCACCTGGTGTGCTTCAGGCATCAGTCTCTCCTCGCCCTGACGCCGATTCCGTCTCCTCAGGGGTGCGCCTTCGCCAGAGAGGCCATCCCAGGCTCCCCGTCACCCTCCACGGGCCCCTTTTCACCCGAGTTCTCGATTCCCGCAATGAGGGGCTGCAGCCCGGGAGCAGGATAGGCTTGGGCCTGGCCTGGAAACACCGAAGCAGACTTGTCAGGAGGGACAGGTGGGCGCCTGCTTTTCCTCGCCTTCATCCTTCCCAACTTAAAGGTGGGAAACCTGGGGCCCAGGTGTCAGTTTGTCCTGCTCAAGCAAAGAGGTGGCAAATCCTAGCGCTGACCTCCCCGCGCCCCATCTCCATCTCAACCCAGACTGGACAGTCAACGAGTTAAACCACCCCACCGCCCTCCTCCCCCCAGCAAACAACCCCGTAAGAAGAGAGATCCACCTAGGTGACTCCCTGAATCAGGCAAAACAAAGAGCTTCTAATTGCATTGTTTTCCAAGAATGTTTAAGGGCCCACAGTAGATTTGGGGTGGGGATGGTGGGCGGGGGTAGGGAAGTGAGCGCGAGGGTAGGGGAGTGGTTAAATAAAATTGTTCAAGTTTTCAGGAAATGGGGAACTAACTTCTCTGCCCAGCCTTCTGCTACGATATCCTAGCATATTCTAACTTGACTCATCCCAAAGAGGAAAAGCCGTTCAAATTTGTCCTATGGTAATACCTTTTGAAGTAGAACCATGTTCCAGCGGTGTATTTGCGGCATTAAGACAGTTCTTCATTGATTCCTACATTATAGAGACACCCAAGACTGTTTCTTGTTCCTGAATGTCTTCTGATTACCTACCTCAAGCCAGGAGCCTATTCAGCAGTTACAGTGCTGAACTGGATAGATTTGTTCCCCCACCCTTTAACCACGTTTCTTAGAGGTATTGTGGCTCAAATGCATTTGTAACCCCAGACATGAAGGAAGTTTAGAAAAACAGTGACAAAAATCGGGAAAAAGGTAAATGAATTCTTTCTATACCACTTGGCATCTAGTCAGAAGCATTTTCAAATCAAGTGATGCCTGATGCCTTCTTTGTCATCACTATATCTTTGCACACATAGCCTTGACACTCTCCCTTGGCTTCTCAGTTATTACTGGTTTCTAGAGCACAGGCTTGGTCACAGGTCTAATCAGTACTCTACCATGTACTGTGTAATTGTAGGTGTTTGACCTTTCCAAGCCTTAATTTCCTGATGTGTAAAACGGGGGCGGTAATACTTACTGTGTGACCTTCTCTCTGTGAAGTATTTAGCACAGATCTGACACATAGTAAGTTCACTATAAATGTTTGCTGCTTTTATTATTTTTGCTATTATTAATTTACAGATATGGGAGCGCCCATATTATGTCAGACAGAGTAGCCCCTGGGAATGCAGCAGTGAACAAGATGCATCCCTTGCCCTCAAGGAATGTATATTCTAGCAGAGGAACCTGATAAATAGGCAGTTAGGAGTGTGGTAAATGTAAGGGTTGATCACCTAACCTAGGTGGATGACAGGTGGGGGAACATGTCAGGGAAGACTTCCTGAAGCACAAGATAGCTGAGATGAGTAGTGAAGTTAGCTGGGTTGGGAGTGGGAAGGTGCTCCAGGAGCAGAAGCAGAATCTTTAAAGTTTTTCCTTTGGGCTCCATTGCCTACCTGTCTTTCAAGTACCATGTCCTGAATATGGACCTGTCCCAAGGCTTGCTTAGCCAGGTTCTGCTTTTCTCTCACCATTTTCTCCTTCAGTAAATCTGCCACTCAAATAGCTTTCACTGCTAACTCCCAAGTTCACATGCCATCCCTAACCTCTCTCTTAAGCATCAGTGTTACTTTTTAAACTGAGTGCTCTGTATTTCCACTCAGGACGTAAAACTGTTTTCTCAAAACCTCAGTATGATTTAAAAACCCAAACTCATCTTTCCATCAAAACCACTTCCACCTCTGAACTTTCCTTTTTTATTGTTGATATGCTACTCTTTTCCCAGTTACTCCGGCACACAAAAAAACCCCAAGTCATTGGAGTTGTCCAAGGCAGAATGGGTTCCCTGATAAGGTAGGGAAGTTTTCAAGCTGAGACTAGATAACAGGAGTTTGTAAAAACTATTCCTCCAGATGGTGGAAGATGAGCTAGATGACTTATGGTGTCCTTACGAACTAAATATAATTCCTTTATTTTTCCTTCTGTCTTATCCATCTACTTCTTAACATTCCCTCTGCTATAGGCTCTTATCACCACAAATATGATCCACTAAAATTGTATTCTACTGGCTTTCCTTTCTCTGGATTATATTCACTTCTCCCTCTCCCATCCCTTTGCAGATTAATATTCCTTAGAATGTTGCTTAAAATAAGGCTTCTCAAACATTAGTGAATATAATGGTCCACAGATCTGCAGCATTACCACCATCACCTGGGGGCATGTTAGAGCTACCAGGCGCCACTCCAAACCTGAACCAAAATCTGCATTTTGACAAGGTCGTCAAGGGATTTGCATGCACGATAAAGTTTGAGAGCAACTACCTTAGACCACTGTTTAGTGTTTATTACATTTTTGTTCAAAACATACAGTGGCTTCCTTCTGTCTGCTGAATAAAATCCATCCTCTAGCATGCACTTAAAGCCTATTTCTTCTTTTTGTATATGCGGAGTTCTGCAACTGCCCTCACATTAATTGGAGAGTATAAGCAAAGTGCTGACTCACTTCTCAGCATGTCTGGTCAGTCAGTATTGCTGAGAGCCCACTGTGTGGTAGGCACTATTCTGTGGAGATACACCTGTGGAAAAGACAAAGTAAACACTAAGTAATTAGTAGCTAATACTATTTCATGCTTGGAATTCCTATTTTCTTTAAGTCCTACTGGACATTCAAGCCCCACGCCTTCAGTGAAACTATCCAGGTCCCCCGCAGCTCAGAGTAATCTTTCACTTTGATGAACTCTGTATGGAGTTGTCCATTTCTATTTGTGCACTCCCCAGACCCGCAGAATAAAATTTTTAGAGTGAGAGTTCAGGCATCCATTGGTTTTTATAATTATAAAAGTTAATTTGAAACACGCTGGTTTGGGAACCAGTGGTTCAGATCATTAGTGAAGCTGTTAATGTGGCAGCCTAGAACCAGTTCTTAGGTCTCTTCAAATGGACAGTTATATTAAGTTTATACAGTGTTTTGGAATTGATTTTATTTCCTATTTCCATTATTTATCCAGAGCATAGACAATACCTTCAGATAAAATTATCTCTTTATCTACATTAATACTCTTTTTTCTTTCTGTTATATATGGATATGGACCTTGTTTCCTCTTAAATTTCTTTTGCATGGTGCTTTGTGTTTAATGTTATTAAACAATGTGCATTCTAATCTTTTTTTCTTCAAGTTCAATCTATATTTTTACTATTTCATCGCAGGATAATTGATTCTCAACATGGGCTGGGGAGGGTGGGGTGGCTTCTATAAGATGATCAGGGTAGTAGTGAGAATAAATACAATTTGAAAAAAACGTATAGATGATTTTGAAAGGCCTCCTCTCTCCCCTGGATTGAAAACCATTGCTTTGATTTCTCTGGAGAAGTTCTAAGGATTCCAAGAACTCTATGTACCAGATTAAGCTCCCACCCCCATTGCTGTTATAGTACTATCACCAACCACCTAAGCGCACCTCAAAAAAAAAAATGTATTTTTTTTCCCTAGGTTCCTTAAAAGCATTTATTATTATTTATTTTAGTCATTTTACTTTTTAAATCAACTTTATTGAGATGTAATTTACCTACAATAAAATATACCTACATTAAGTGTATGGTTTGTTGAGTTTTGATAAATTCACTCATAACCACCACACAGTCAAGATACAGAACATTTCCATCACCACAGAAATTTCTTACGTTCCTCTTAGAAGATGCTCCCTCATCTTACCCTTGGTCCCAGGCAACCAAGAATATTTTCCAGAATTGGAAGATCCAAGTCTCTACACTAAAAAGGCTAAGTGCAACTGGCCTAGAAAGCAACTAGTCCCGATTATAGCAGGAGTATGGAAGACCTTGGGAAAGCAATCTCCAGTGAAAAACTGGAATGATGAGTTTGAGTGTATGGAAAAATACAGTGATAAGGCAAATAGTGGAGAGGTTGAACTATCTGGAAAAAGTTAATAATAGCTACATGGGAAATCAAGCATGTGAAAAAATGAGGCAGTTATTAACTCTAGGGGAAAAAATGTACAAGAAAGACTTGGTCTTTTCTGTTTGCCTCAGCTATGACCCATGTTTACATAGTCATAAGGATGTAAATGTAGACTATTTAACCAAAAAATATGTCAGAACTATGTCGGATGAATGAAGGCAGGAAAGTAGGATGCAGAAAGGTGATGAAGGAGAGCTCAGTCTTCATCTCCATGGCAGGAAGTTAGTAGATAAATGTCTAAAACAGATGTCATGCCATATAAACATTATTTAAGAATGATGATAAAAAGCAGGATAAACAGCTAGATGGATTGAAGGTAACTGCTTCTGGGATGGGATTGGTGGGAGCTTAGGTCAAGAGAAATTTAAAAATGAAAGAAGAAAGCCATATAACAAACTTGTCTTTTCTTATAAAGATGCAGTGTTTCAGAATGTTCTTGGCCAAAGACACCCACACTTATTGTCACTGAATGTTTCTTTAAACAAATCTTTAGGATCTAGCAATTTATAGGTCTGGCATTGTGCTTTGTATGGTAGACTTGTAGTAAGTTTCTGTTAATCAAAATATATTTCTAGAAAAGGAGATTTAACTAACTCAAACTGTTTCTATTTTCCTTTTAGGTTAAAATTTTTGAAATTGAAATAGGTCTTCGTATTAGGAACTCATGTCTTTTCTTGTAAGTAAACCAGAGCGAATTAGGGTGAGTGTTTCTATTCTTCTTCTGGATTTACTATTTTTATTTTCTGAAAAGCAGTGTGTTTTGACAGATGTTGTATGTGGTTTTTCATGTTATGCTTAGAGTAAAATGTAAGTGAGCGATGTAGGAAGTAAAGCAGGTTATATGCTGCCTTTGCTTCTGAGAACAGAGCTTGTAAGCAGAGGCCGACCAGAGACACAGAATGTACCCACCAGCTTGTCTGATAAAGAATTATCAGACAATTTTATGATTATCAGCTTATTTTATGAATATCAGTCATATAGCATTAAATGAGTTGATGGCTCTTTTCAGTGTATATATGTAACCACTAACAATCTGTCCATTTCTATGTATTTTTAATGAGTTTGTGTGTTTTAAAAAGCAGTATCAAACTGTAATCATTGGAACACTTTTCTAAATATGATCATAGGTTTTAATTAAAGACTTTTTGAATATGAAAAATTTTATTATACCTGGAAACTTAAGCTAAAATGACCTCAAGAACAAATACTGGATTTGGCTTCTTTATAAGGTTCCATGATTTCACAAAAGGGTATCTAATTTATTGTCAAGTATTTAATTTCTAAATGTGGTAGTAATTATTTTAAAATTTGTAACAATGTATAAATGCCATGAGACATAATGAATATAACACTTTCTTTAAATATTAAAGTGTAAAGTACACATGAGTTTTTTATATAAAGTTTTTTATTTAGGGTATTATTTCTTTTTTATAATGGAAAAAATTGATACAGACAGAATAATGTTATAGTTCCAATTCATAATCCATATTATGTAGTTCATTCCTGAATATTAATCTTTTTTCTTATGTTTGTGTATATAAGTATATAAGAACAATTTATACTGGAAAGAGTAAACTTCACTGTTAATTAAGAGGAAAAATGGAGTGTCTCCTTAGCCTGAACTCTGCCTGATGGAAACTTTAATACCAGTCCTTAAGTGAAATATCATCTTGATTCCATTCCTTTTAAATACAAGCTGCTTTACCATTCCAACCTAGCCTGATTCATGTGAAATCAGACCACTGATCAGCATGATGGAAATCCAGTACTCGTTTGAGATACGCAAAGTGAACCATACATCCATCGGTCAGGCTAGTCTGGTTTCTGTAAACTTGGTAGAAAATGTTAAGTGGTGATATCTTTAGAAACTCTAGTGGGTGAAAGAATATGCAGTTTACCGTTCGCTATTACAAAGTAATAGAGACTTATGAAGAGCTACTGTTCCATCCCTGTTCTCTCTGTGCTGTGAATTCTGGTAATATTTTTCAAGTTGGCCAAAACATCTGTAATAGACAGCCATGGAATGAGTCAAATGGAACCAAAAGGTAGTTTTATGTGTAGGAAGGACAAAAACATTCTTCATGGCCAGCACTACAAGTTTCTCATCTGTCAGAGTTAAGAAGTGTTCATCAAATTAGGCCAAGAAGAATAGAGAAAAGGATTAATATGTTGATTCTAGTTGATTTAAATCCAACTTTCTTTTCAAAACTTTCCCATAGAAGTGAAGAGCTGGAATACTTATGAGATTCTGCCCATTTGTCACATTTGGTTTGGACAGACACCTGTAAAGAAGGCAGCCCACTGGTCATAAGCCTGTGTGATTCAGATTCATTTACACCTCTTCCCCCTCAACATGTAGTCCCCATCCAAAAATTAATTTTAAATGGGTCCAAAAGAAAACAGGATGTCAGCATGTGAATAGCCTTAGTCCTACCATTAACTAGTTGAATCTTCATCTCACTAGGCCTGTTTTCTCTTCTTTAAACTGGAAAGAGTAGTACTAGCCTTGTCTACCTCACTAAACTGTTATGAGGCTTAAATGCAACACTGCTTGGTAACCTACAAAGTAATTAGAAACCTATTATTAGATACAGCAAAGTGTGGATGATGGACTAGGTTCAAGGAATACAAATTATCTGTCAAGCTGATAGAAACACTTCTGTAAGGTTTTGGGGCAACAGAAAGTGCTACAATAGAAATGAAAACAAAGGAGGTGCTAGTACTGTGGCATATCCACATTATTCAGTAATAAGTTTAGGGACTAGTTGTAAAGAAAAGGTACCCACTACGCAATGTTCAAAGCTATCCAAATGTCACAAGGAGGGGTGTGATATGCAAATGCCTGCACCTTGGAATCCAGAGGAAATGCTTACAGGCCAACTTGCACCACTGGAGCACAGCCTAAAGATTTCAAGATCTCTGTGCTCTTTGCAGATTTCCTTCTACAGATGATTTATCTTCAACTTATATCTATTAAAACTATGGGTGATATTTCTTAGACACCTGCCCTGCTTGTAAAATGTTCCTCCCAAGTCACCTGCAGGACACTTAAAGTCACCAGTTACCAAACTATAGGGTAGTTGGCTGTCCATTTATTGGCTGGGGAGTGGTTAAGCAGAGTGGATTCCTAACTCAGTCTCTTACTAGTTACATAATCCTGGGCAAGTTACTTAATCTCATTTCCTTTTCCACAAAATGGGACCAGTAATAGTATCCATCTTTTCAGGTTTTCTGAGGGTTAAATGAGACCATATTTCAACAAAAACTTGGAGGTTATAGGCAATTTAATCTGCATGCTGTTTGTCTGAGTGTCTAATAAAGTACCTTTGCTTTGGAAAAAAAAAAAAAAACTTTCCCATAGAAATGTATCTTAACTGTATTGAATGATTCTGGTTTTGTAGTTGTGTTTTTGTTTGTCTGTCTAATGGCTGATAGCTAATTTCTTGTGGCTTGGAAGAAATACTAATTCTCTTTGGGGTTTTCCTCTTTAGCGGTGGGTCTCGGAAAAGTTCATTGTTGAGGGCTTAAGAGATTTGGAACTATTTGGAGGTAAGTACAGTATGGCATTTAGCATTTACTTCAGGATACCTGTTACTACTGTTGTTGACTAAATAAATTATAGAAATAAGCAATTCAATGGGCGATTGTAAACTACAATTGTTATATTTATTTGGTTCCTTTTTCAATCCATGATTTCCTAAAGATTTGAGGAGTAATCTAGCAGTTTCCTTGGCCTATCTTGATTGTTAGAAAGCCAGTATTTACTCAGAAGCACATGTGTTTGTTCTAAGTATCTGTCCAGTTGAAATGTATATTCTTAAGGGAAAAAAGAACAAATGTTTAAAAGTCTCTAGCCTTGAAGATTTGAAGAATAAAAGTGTAGTCAGAACAAAGGTAGCAGTGATGTAGAAGTTCTGATTTTGCTGATCAATCTAGTTGACTCATCTTTTCGTGATAGAAATAATGAGACTTAAGAGAATTAAGGAAAAATGTATCAGGACAGAAATATTAACTTTCTATTATAAAATCTAAATGTTGATTTCAGAAGTAAAGTAGATTTGAACTTTGAACACTAATGGACCCAAGCATTCCTCTCTATTTTCAAATTGAGCCATTTGGGGAACTGTGATCTTAATTTAAGGTAAAGAAAAGTCTTTTCCTTAAAATAAGATAGTAGTAGAGCCCTATTCTTTGTGTCTGAACACCAAGATTCTATCTCAGACTCCTATAGCTAAAGAAATAAGCTATTAGACTGAGTGAATTGGTTGACTGATCCAAATACCCCAGAAAGGCGCAAGTAGGTGAAAGCTAAAGTTTGTTAGTCACTAGGTGGTACCTAGTGATTTATTTTCCCTAATGCCATTCAGAGAATTTCTGGAGTACGAGTATTCATGAGCTTTGTCAAAATGTTGTGTTTTAGGCAAATGAGAGTTTAGAAAAATTATGTTGTTTTTGTTTTTGTTACAAAGGGTAGAAATTAGCTGCACAGGAAAGGGAAGGCTAATGGGACAAAAATATTATGTTCTGGTCCTATTCTCATTTTCTTCCCAACATTAATAGGAATACAATTGTTTAATTGTAAACACTGGCATCAATGAAAACTTAGTTGGAAGTCCAGTTTACAATCAGTTAAGAATATTCCAGTATATGTTAATTGAATTAATGGATTTTGGTTTCAATGTTTTGAGTGTAGGATCTCTGGCTGCCTTTTGACAATTCCCTACTCTCTGATCTGAGGAGAGTGCAGAGACTGTTCTGTATATTGTTTAAATATATAACACACACATACACACACACTTGATTAAGTGTATACATACCAAATTTTATACAATTTGGAATTTGCCTTCTACTCTGGAAAATTGGGTTTGATTTCCTTTAATCTATTCACCTGGTTTCATAGCTTTGGTACACTGTCTTAAGCAACTGCTCTTGCCATATGTATGCCAGAAAACTTGATGTCTAAGGCAAAAAAATAATTCTTATTTTGATAAATAGAGGCTAATTTATCCTGTAGCCAAACTCCTGTAGCAGTATAGTTGGATGCTGTACTTTCTAATTTAAGATATTTGGAAATATATAATCATTCCAATACATTACCATTAAAAATCTACTTTGATGATTTTTATCACTTTTATGGAATGGAGAAAAATAAAGTACAGGCACAGAATTTGTCTGATTTAAGAACAGAGAGCTATTTCAGTTGTCCTTTGCTCTCTTTTTTTTCACCAAGAGTAGCTGAGGGCCAAAAAACCTTGTTTTATTTGCATTCAGAATAGAATATATCTGACTAGAGAATCAAACTGGGTAATGGTCCCATACACATATTGCTGTATTAAACTTTTTTTGCCTTTTTTGTTTTTAAATCTATTTTCTAGTCCTTGTGCTCCCTGGGGAAACAGCCAACCATCTCCATAAGTTTATAATGAGCTTTCTGTTCACAGTGTAAGACTCTGAAACCAGCCTATTGAGAGTGGCATTGTGTGCTGATGAAAAAATAGATGTATGACCAGAATTATAGTAATGGAGTTCTACGCAGTGAAGAACACCCACGGAATAATAGCCTTGCCAAGTTTTGAAGAGCTGTAGATTCATGTTTCAAACCCCATCTACCTGCAGCATTTTTACCGTGGATCTGTGTGTGTGTATGTGTGTTTACATGTGTGTGTTTATATGTAGCACAGCAGGCACTTTTTGCTGTAACTACTCAAGTGTTTTCTATTAAGAAATGTAGTCCTAAGTGCAATAATTGCTGTTCGGAATGTGAGTATGAAAAACAAAATGCCAACAATCCATTTCTCTACTCCAGAGCAGCCTCCGGGTGACACTCGGAGAAAAGTAAGTGACTTTCTAGGTTCTAATGCTGTGGCTCTTGCATGGAGGTGACATCATGTGGAAATTTGTGTGTTGTGTTGGCTTATCATTTTATGTTTCTGCTTATCCATCATTGAGTTTTATTTGTAGTTCCAAGTAATTATTTTACTTGTGGAGTTTCAGGTTTCACCCTGGAAAGACTTTAATGTGTACTCTGAAAACTGAAAACGTCTCAGGCACTTTGTATCTCTCTTGGAGATTGAGGTTTCCTCCCCTTCCCAACCCCACAAGTCATCCACCACCCCTTCCTCCAAAAAAGAAAGTTTAAACAATCTAGAATGTGGTTATCCATTAGTGGCTAGAGGTACTAAATTTTCCATCCTTATTAATAATAGATTTCAGTCCACAGAGATACTATAGAATTTCTGTCTAGATCATAAGGTAGGATCTGAAATCTCCTACCTTAAAAAAAAAAATTTAAAAGTACAAAATAGAAGATGTATTTTTTTACTGGCCAAGGTTATTAAGACTCTTGCCCTGCTTCTTACTCTTCTAGCTTATTTTACCTAAGTAAAGAATGCCATATGTGCACAGTGTACCAAGCGATTTTTGATAATATGAATCAGTGTGTTAGAGAGAGGATAAGACCACTTTTCCGAATAGACTGCTTATTCTTTTTGGATGACAGGCATTTGCACCTTTGCAGGCGCCCCACAGCTGAATGAAGGATGAAGATGTTGCCTAGGAATTTATCTTTGAGTAACATTTCAGCTGTGCTTAGATAGCCTGCTAGTCAGGAGCACCTCTCCATCAGATCCAAGTATTTTCTAGTCAGGAGACCAAAAACATTCCCTATAGGATCAGTTAGGTATTTTTCCAAAATACAATGCCAGTTAGATATAATTTTTATATTTTCATAGCTGCCAATGTGTCACCAAAAGTTATCCTGTGTGAAACCTGTGGGAGGTTGAATGTATTTATTTGGTAGCATTTCATAAATATTGTTTTTGTGTGCTTTATTGTTCTTTGTTTTAATCTATTTTAACAAAGTTATCATCTTATGGTCATTTCTGGGTATCAGTGGCTTATGTATTTTTCAAATTTTCAAAATAAATAAAGTGCTCTTTATAGTGGGGAAGGAAGAAAAGACTTTGATGAAATTAGTTTCTTTCTCTAGGTCATTTGAGGTTATGCATTACATGAATAAAACTATGCCAGGCTTTGTTTAAAGAGAATGGACTAAATATTTCACCCTTTTCATCTGAATTTTGATGTCTGCCATATCTGAGACAATAAAATGAACTAACCTGCCTTTCTTGTGGCAATATCAGAACAGACTTCCTCCTTTCAAAATACTGCCTTGTTTGTTTGTTTGTTTTCCTAAATAAAGGTCGTTTACTCCCTGAACTCAGACCTATAGAGGATCTGCAAAGTAGAAAGCAACCATTTTAGGGTTGCCTCCAGTGAGATGGGGACCAAGTGGTAGAGGAGCCCCCGCACCCACTAGACAGTTCATTTCTTGCAGGTCTTGATGACCCAAGAGTGCATATCCCCAAGTACCTAAAGAATTTTGTTTTCTAACTAAACTACTCAAAACACATTTGAGTGGTTTGCTGTAGTCAACAAAGGTAGAAATATTTTTCAGGTTACTAACTAATCAAATCAGTAGTTAACAGATCTTTCCCTACCTAGGCCCAACAAGAGTGTGTCTTTAGCGTGTAGCCTAGAAGACAGTATGTCTTAGGTGCACTACTAGCAAGGAAGGGGGGCAAAAGTAATATATCTAGTTTTCCAAAGGGGGTTATTTAAAATGCATATAATAAATATTTTCATCTCAGGATGCCAGCTGTCCCTCATAGTCTCTTTTTCAAATTAGAGAAACATTAAGAGTTGGCCTAGGAAAGATGTTCAAATACAAAGTAGCTCAAGATTTGTTCTCACTGGGGCCGTATTGTTACCTGCTGAAAAATGCAGCACTTTCTCACATGCAGATATCAGATCCTGATCTAAAAAGCGCGCCTGTATCAGGTGATCTAGTGAATGTGTTGTATGTGTGAGGGCTGGCTTTCCCATATTGGTCATTATGTTGAACCCCATTTGCAGTGGAATGGCTGGTCGTTTACCCTTTTCTCTTCTTCAGTCCATGGGAGTGTCAAGGTCATAGGCAGAAAACCTCCTCAATTCAAACTTTGCATAAATGATTTTTTTTAAGTATGTGCCAGCATCTTTCTAGGCATTGGGGAATACATCAGTGAACAAGACAGACAAGGGCCCTGCCCTCGTGGAGCTTGCGTTCTAGTGGAGGAGAAAGGCAATAGAGAAATAAATTGCAGTGATAACTATTGTGAAACGAGTAAAGCAAATGAACAACAGAGTGACTAGGAGTCTACTTTACCTGGCTAGACAGTCTTCAGTGAATAGATAACTTTTAGATTGAGACCTCAGTGAGAAGGAAGAGGCAGCGATGAGAAAACAGCAGGGCAGCCAAGGAGGAGGGCAGGAGTGTTCCAAACAAAGTGATAGCTAGTGTGAGTTTCCTAAGACAAGCTGCTTGTTTGTGTGGGTCAAGTGTAGGGAATCAGGGCAGCCAGGCATGGGAGGAGACTGTAGACAGAGGCAGGGGTCAAAGCATGTGGATCCCACAGGCTAGAGGAGGGAGTTTGGCTCTTAAAGAACCCCTGGATCTTGTGTTAACTGGTGACACTGATTTTATTGAGGAGTAGATTGATACTTGAGTAAATAGGATCTGCAGAGCAAGAGTTAGAGGTATAAGTGTGTAACAGGGAGTTAGAGGTATAAGGTTCAGAAGGTGGGACTCTGCCAGACTAATTGTGCAGCTTGTAAATTGTAAACTGGGGAGTTTGTAAAGATGGGGAGTCGCCATTTCAGAGCTCTTGGTTTGGACTTTTTGCTCAAATTGCTATTCCATTTTGTCCTTGGTTGTGTATCTCTCTTAGCTGTGTGAGGCACCTGGCATGTAGTGACCAGTATCTCAAGATTGTGTTGAAGACAAGACAGTTTCCAGAAGCTACAGTGGCTATTTATTAAATGATTCTAGAATTTGTTTTCAAAGATTTGAAAACACAGATAAGTGTTTACCAAAATCAAACCATCTCAACTGTTGATCAAACTCTACTTAGGATTCTGTCTTCTCCATTTTCTCTGGTCCATCTTATGAGCAGGAGAGTGACCAAAAAGTAGACAGCAAAAAAGGGAGGAGAATAGAATTCACATTTACTAATGCCCGTGACATACCAGATAGCACTAAGCTCTCTACATATTTTATCTCACTTAATTGTCACAACAACCTTATGAGATGGGAATTATTCCACTGATGAGATTAAGGAGAGCCCAAGAGGGTAGGGTGACTTGCCCAGGGTCATAGAGCAAGTGATAGACCTGGGTCGGAGTTCTGCATCTCTCTAGTCCCTGAGCCTATAGACTTTGCATTATACCATATGTTTTACTTAAAACAGCCTTTCCCAAAATTTAACAGACATAAGGCACAAAAAGGTTCTCTGGACAAGTATCTTTGGAAAATGCTAGGTTAAAGTTAAACAAGTTTCTTTACTGTAGAACTTCTCAAAGCCTTTACTATGTGAGTGTGCCATGTGATTCTCCATGAGACAGAGTATGCTGCATTTCCTAACTTAATGGGATGTGTAAACTTTATTCATGCATTAACTGCCAGGCTCCGTGTTCCATGGGGCCTACTTTGGGGAAACCCTGCATTAAGCAACTCTTAGAAAAATGAACAAGAGACAGAAAGAGGCATTTTTACCTTGGAGAAAACCCGCATGGCCAATAAATACATGAAAAGATGCTCACCTTCACTAGCAATCGGGGAAATGTAAATCAAACCCACAATGAGATTGGCAACAATTAAGTCTGAAAACACCAAGTGTTGGGGAAAAAAATGGATCAATGGGAATATGCATATATTGCTAGCAGGAGTGTAAATTGGTATAACCATTTTGGAAAACAGTTTGGCATTATCTCATAAAATTGTTAATATACTCTAGAAATTCTACTCCTGTATGTAAGCTTCAGAGTAACTCTTCCATGTAGGCATCAGGAGACACATTCCAACATGTTCCTTGGAACACAGTTTAAAATAGCAGAACCGAAAACAACCCAGAACACCCAACACTGGAATTGATAAATTGAGGTATGTTTATAAGGTGAATATTACACAACATGGCTGTATGACATAGCTAAATACAATATAGTTGAATCTTAGAAATATAAAAAAATGAAGGGTAGTTTGTAGACAGGGCTCAATTTGGCTTAACTAGGTTCCTCTTATTGTCAGAGAAAGTGGTGTGGGAGGCAGACCCCCACTTGGTTTCTTTGCCCACTGACAACATCAACTGATGAAACCAGATGTGCTTGAAACGTCAGGAACCCCCAACAAGGTGGTACCACTGTTTCGGAACATTGTCAACTCACACTATTCTGGCTAGTGCTGAGCTGAGCTGAGCCTTTCATGCACCCACTCAGACCTGTGCCTGACTGGAGGTTAGGTTTATGAATGCAGCATAGGAAATAGAGGAGCTAGCCAAAGGTTTTCCCTTTCAGTTACACACACATCTGAAGAAAGAGGATCCAAAAAAAAGAAAAATGTTCTCAGTCCCTAAGGCATACAAATAAATGTAGTTCTGGAAGGAGGAAACTGAGTCTCTTAAGCTTAAGGAAGAGCTGATGGTCTGCCATGTCTTTTGCTGGACCTTCCTTCAAGACCCCAAAGACCAGAGGTGTGACACGCATCCAAACGGCTGGGATCCAGCTTCATTTGCAGCACGAGTGGGCAGAACAAGGGAAAGGTCACTTCTGCTGCCGAGGGTGACAGCTGAGGCCGGACAGCTCTTTTTCCACCTGCAGCCCAGTGTGTAGGCTGTTTTCTTGCTTCACTTAGAAATGATTGGTCTGGGCTCTTGGTTTGCTAGAGACGGGCTTCTGCTGGCCTCATTTTCCCTATAGAAAGATTCAGCATTTGACCTTTAGGATCTTGTAGTCAGGACCTTAAAAATAGGACCCTAATGCAGAAGGAAATTGAGAACTCCCCCACCTCTCTATCCTTCTCTTTTCTAAATATGCCTTTATCCAGACATCCTTTCCCTAAGTAAAAATTTCTTAGTTTTTAGTAAGTGAACCAGTTGTTGGAAAGGACAAGCAATGAAGAGTTGACTCAACTCGTCCTTGACCCGTTTGTGGACAGCACTGACGCTTACGGCTCTGCTGCTGGTGCTGATTACATGTTGGATGTCTGCTGTTTTACTTTACATTTCTCATCAAATAGTGCTGACGCTATTTCTTTGCCCCAGAATCAGAAATTGAATGGTTGTTTAGATGCCAGTCTCCTCGTGGGTCTGAATTACCACCTCCCTACTCCCATACCACCTCCAATTTTCTCTTATTAACCTATTTTTCTTTTTCTTTAGACCAATGAGGCGAGCTCAGAGTCGATAGCATCCTTCTCCAAACAGGAGATCATGAGTAGCTTTCTGCCAGAGGGAGGGTGTTATGAGCTACTCACCATTACAGGTAATGTCCGCGGCCGCCATTACCTGCACGCTGCAGGGGACTGCTGCGGCGGTCTCAGTGTCTCCAGAGAAATGTGTGCCAGATGCTGTCAACTAGTTAGCAAGATTCACGGGAATAAAACTGGCTTTTGTGGGTCTTCTTTGGTTTTCTTCCAAGAATGGGAAAAGAGATCATGTTACCAAGAGAAACTCTTTTTGCAGTTTTTTCTTTTTAGCTGTACGCTTCTCATGACCTGGGCCGTGGAATGGTTGGCTAAGAAGGAACCGATAGGAGAAAAATCCAGAAGTGTCAGCTGTGAGAGTAATGGTTGCCTTGAATTTTATTTTTAAATCAAGTCTCTGTAAGGAAGAGGAAAATCTCTGTTGCTGTTGTCCTTGTTTATGGCATTTCTGTTCTCTCTTAGGCAAAGGATTTGAGGACCTGATGACAGTGAACCTGGCAAGGTACAAACCAACAGGAGAGTATGTGACTGTACGAAGGGTTAACCTCGAAGCTTGTTCCAATGAGATGGTGACATTCTTGCAGGTAATAAAATGTGAATGTAGTACTTGAAGGGTGGGCTCTTAATAGTCAGTAGTGATTATAAGGCATCTTTTATCTCTGACCTCTGGAAGTAGCTTGCAGGAAATGAAGGTAGACCAGACCAAGAAAGTGTGGAAGCTCTCCATGAGGGATCTTGGGCCTTTGGCACTAAAGGTTCTGTATGGCTGCTCAGCCCAATTTATATTTCTCTTTCCTTCTCCAGAGACTCTTTTGTGACTAATTTGTTCATTTATTTATTATTCAGAAGGGCTAAGTAACTTGCGCATGGTCACCCACACTAGTCAGCAGCAGAGGTAAGATTCAAACGCAGGGAGTCTTGTTCCAGGCGTGGGGTAGCTACCCTGCTGCCATGGCCACCTGCTGGCTCTCCACGTCCTACTGGCCTGAGGTTCCTTTCTACGAGAGAAGCAAGTAGCTACTCTCTTGTTAAACCGGCAGGGACCACAGGCCTGGTAACCTGAGGGCTGGGTTCTCCTTGGCTAATGGAGGCCTGCACTGGGACCTTCTGAGGTCCAGGGCCCAGGTCCGTGTATTTTCAGTAGTTAATTGCAGCCCCTCCCTCATCTTCATTTGCAAATGTTCTATTACCAGTTCATGTGTGCAGAGTAGTTTTATGGGTCTGAGGATGGAAAAGAAAGTCAGTCCCAGCTTAGTTATTTGGGGAAAAAGACATATCTAAGTTTGTTCTAGAGCATGCTGGACTTTATGATTCTTTTTTTTAAATTCTGTAGAGCCATGGACAGGTAAAAGGTACTACCTATTTGGCCTGAGCTCATGTGCCAGAGGCCAGGACCCTAGAGTTCTCTAGTTCTTTTGCCTAATTTTTTCCCCTACATCTTTGGTCCAAATTAATTTAAAAATTCCATAGGTCTTACACATCCTATAACTGCTCCTAAGGAAGGGATCTCTTAATCTGAGGCTCCTGTAGAAATGTATTCTAATGTTTAGTGGTTGTCACTGGCTCCTGAATACTTTCTTCCCTTGGTCTGTTGACCACACGTCTTCTTTTACGATAGGAAAACCTTTTTTATTTCCTTACTTAAAGAAGAATTCTGTGCTGTGGCCCTTGAAATCAAGCTGTCTCTGGGTGGTGAACCAGAACTCTCTGCTGTGTCATCAGCAGTCTCCCTGTTGGTGGGCACCTGTTTCTTGAGGCTCTTTGGGACTGGCTGGTGAAGCCAAGCTTAGGCAGAAGCTGGCAGAGCCATGCTGGGTCCCTGCAGAGTCAACAGAGCCTAGTGTCTCTCATATTGGTGGACATTTGCTTAGGCCACTCCCTGGACTCTGGGAATAGCATGCAGAAAGTACTAGATCCCCTGATTATTCACGCTGCCACCTTCACGTTGAGCACCATTCTTCAGTACCCCTTGGTTCTGACTTCAGCTTACCATTGCTTTCAGGGGGAGCTTCATGTCTCTAAACTCTTCAACCATCCCAACATCCTGCCATATCGAGCTACCTTTATTGCAGACAATGAGCTGTGGGTTGTCACATCATTCATGGCATATGGTGAGTGGGAAAGAGGTACTGGCAGAGAGGGTCCTAAGGACTCTGTTGTCAGCTGGCTTATGTACTGTCTTCCTTTCCTGTTACCCTTCCCTATGTTCCCACAATTCTTTCTTCAGGTTCTGCAAAGGATCTCATCTCTACACACTTCATGGATGGCATGAATGAACTAGCGATTGCCTACATTCTGCAGGGGGTTCTCAAGGCCCTAGACTACATCCACCACATGGGATATGTACACAGGTACATTCTTAGGTGTATTCATCCTTTACGAGAGCAGGGATCTGTGCCCATGATCCCCCAGGTAAACAGTTGAAAGTTGACTGAAGTTAGTGAAGCCTACAGTTTAAGTCAACGCTGGGGATTCTGCCCTTGCTCTGACTTGGTGGACAGAGCATGTAGCCTGCCGGTGCTAAAGCTACTGACTTTCCTTTTACTGAGCAGTTTGGGCCTGCATACCTTGTGAGAGGAACTAATCTACTGTGGGCCCCTGCACCCCCATCCCTCCTCTCTCCTTGGAGGGTGTATGTGTCTCACAGTCAGCCCTGTACTGAGAGTCTGGGGAAAAGATAGGTTGCTTGCTTAGTAGATGGTATCAGGAAAAGTGGCTCATGAGAGGGAAGATAATAAAAACTGGATTCCTACGTAACTTTACACACAAGGAGCACTTCATATAGATTAGAGGCCTAAATATCAGATATCAAACTACCGATTTAGATAGAAGGAAAGGCAGGGAAATATTTTTGTGACCTGAGGCATAGAAGAACTTCTAAATGTTTTAGAAGCACAAAACGTAAGACAAAAACTTGATGGATTTGATTATGTCAAGATTAAAGATTTCTAAACCCACACCATGAACACAGTTAAGAAGTGGGTGACGACATGGAAGATGTTAGCTTTGGCTAAAACACCCAGATCAGTAACAAGGAAGTCTTGTCAATCAGCAAGAAAAGGGTAGCAAAGTTATAAGAAATGAGCAAAGTATATGAAGTTAATAAAAGAGGAAACCTAAAGGACTTGTGATCATGGGAACAGACCCTCAAATCTGGCAGAAATCAGAAAAGCGAGTGAAAACAGGAGGACGTCACCTTACACACCTGAGACTGATGTAATTCAGAGGCTGGATGAGGTCCAGTGTGGTGAGGAGGTGAGGTCTCCCCTCCACATAGCAGAAGGTGGCCCAGTGCAGCCAGTCAGGGTCACTCGGAACTGGGACCATCAACTCTGCCCCCGATGGACACCCTTAATTCAGAGGCTGGATGAGGTCCAGTGTGGTGAGGAGGTGAGGTCTCCCCTCCACATAGCAGAAGGTGGCCCAGTGCAGCCAGTCAGGGTCACTCGGAACTGGGACCATCAACTCTGCCCCCGATGGACACCCCAAGGAAACCCTCACCCAGACCCACGTGGGACCTGTGTGTAGATGTCACTGTTCATATTTATGGTGGCAGAGGCAAGTGTGAGTGTCCCTTCCTAGAAGAATGGATGTGTGAGTGTTAGACCCCCCAGGGTAAAGGTGGCAATTAGAAAGAATGATTGGGTGTGTGTGAGGATGGCAACATAGCCCTGAGAGACAGAGGAACATGGGACTGTTAGGTAAATTGGAAATAAATGCATATGACACAATGATACACTTTACTAGAATACCTACAAACAAAAAGTACAGGTTAAAACAGTAAGTATAGGGGAAGCATTGGCCTGTGAGCATAAACGAGAGCTTCAGTGAAATATAAGTTTAAAATCTGGTGATATGTAAATGGGGCCATGCTGTTTTCTCTTCTTTTGTACAGGTTTTAAAGATTTTCGTAAAAATGTGTCTGTGTGTCCAGGCCGACCTTGTTTTATTGTGCTCTGCTTTTTAGTGCTTTGCAGATTCTGGCATTTTTTACAGATTGAAGGTTTGTGGCAACCCTGCCTCAAGCAAGTCTGTTTTGTACCATTTTCCAACAGCATTTGCTCATTTCATGTCTCTGTGTCACATTTTGGTAATTCCCACAATATTTCAAGCCTTTTCATTATTTTTGTTTGTTATGGTGGCCAGTGATCAGTGATTATGACTTGCTGAAAGCTCAGATGATGGGTAGCATTTTTTAACAATAAAATATTTTTAATTTAAGTATAGCAGGTACAGTATTTTTTAAACATAATGCTATTGCACACTTAGACTAAAGTATAGTACAAATATAACTTTTACATGAGCTGGGAAACCAAAAAATGCATTTGACACCCTTTATCATGATACTCACTTTATTTCGGTCATCTGGAGCTGAACTGCAGCCTCTCCGAGGTGTACCTGTGTGTGACAGTGCAGATACAAGTAAGTACCCACAGCACACACACAAACATGCTGTCAAGGCAGAGAGCTGACTAGAGTGTGAGGACCAGAAGCCTGTGTGAGAGAGGCTCCTGCTGCTCTGTAACACCTCCCTCTGTGCCCCACCCCTGCCAGGAGTGTCAAGGCCAGCCACATTCTCATCTCCGCAGATGGGAAGGTTTACCTGTCTGGTTTACGCAGCAACCTCAGCATGATCAGCCATGGGCAGCGGCAGCGTGTGGTCCACGACTTTCCCAAGTACAGCATCAAGGTTCTGCCTTGGCTCAGCCCGGAAGTCCTCCAGCAGGTCTGTGCTGGGTCTCAAGGGGTCCCTGGCCCCCACCAACTCAGGCTTTCTGAAGGAAGCCTTTAGGAATTTCCTGTGATGGGAGCGCTGTCTGTTTCTGCGTGGAGTAGGGGATTCCCTGAGGGAGGAGGGTCCCTTGTCAGCAGGTAGGCTTGGGAGGCCTCGAGGCATGGGCATTATGTACCCGTTTCAGGAGTAGTTTCCCCTCTTTGGGGGTCCCAAACTGTACCTGATGCTATTTCAGCTCCCTTCAAAGATCTTCCCGACTTAAGGGAAGAGAGAGCATTTGGAAATAAGGGAGCCCTCTGCACCCTGTGCTGAGCAGAAGTGCGGGGCCCCGCATTGCCTCCTGCTTGTTCCATAGCATCACCAACATTCATTCCTGTTCAGAGAGCAGCTGTTCCTCAGTAGTGAAGGCAAGGGGGGTGTCCTCGTTCGGAGACGCGCATTCTGTTTCACTCATCAGCTTTTGCTCCACTCCCTCTTTATCTGAGAACAGGGACCAAGGCTACAAGTAGTGATCTGTGGCTTTTTCTCCTGACTTAGAATCTTCAGGGTTATGATGCCAAGTCTGACATCTACAGTGTGGGAATCACAGCCTGTGAACTGGCCAATGGCCATGTGCCCTTTAAGGATATGCCTGCCACCCAGGTGAGCCTGCAGCCCAGTGGCTTCCTTCTTGCCTGCCTGCCTGTCTGCCTTCTGCCAGTGTGCTTGCCACACTCGGGACTCAAAGTCCTCTCCTTCCAGAGCCCCTCCCAGTGGGGGGAGATGGTTGTGTAACTCTGTTTACTTCTCTTTATGACAACTGCTGTGGCAATGAAGCCCAGGGGAGGGGACCCCCAGAACAGGCCCACTGCTGACATTTGCAGGGCCTAGAGCAGGACTGCCAATGGAGGCCCATGTACCATGTGTCTATTTAAAATACATAAATCAAGCTAACGACCTTTTATAAATTTACAAAATATGTTCTATCCTCTTATTTTGATAAATATATACCTGGAAGGCGAGTTCCACTTTAGAATTCTCAGACTTCTCAGGTTCTGTGCTTCCACGTTCCAGCCAATACCTTTGGAACCTCCAGCCTGCAAATTCAGCTTCTGTTCATGCCCCTGACAATGACCGCCCTTGGCTACTCCTAGGCACACACAGCCAACTGGCATAGTCTGTCCTTGGGAAATGGACCCAGGGGAGAGGCTTACACAGGCCCTGGCACATCTGTGATGTGGACCTGGTTCTTTTGGGCAAGGATTACCTGGATCCGAAGTAACTGGAGAATGATATAAAACTGGGGGTGGGTGGGGGCCAGAGGGTGGGCTCTGAGGGAGCCTCTCCCTTGAACCCACAGACCACTTGCCTTGTAGGGAGAGGAGCAGCTAGAGAAGGGCCAAAGGGGAGCTCCGTGGTGCAGGGTGCTCAGGGAGGTGACATTTGAGTCTCAAAGGCAAATAGGAATTAACTGTGAAAAGAGTGAGGACTAGAAGGAAATTCCTTTAGGCAGAGGGAACAGCATGTGCAAAGACCCAGACTCAGGAAAGAACCGGATCTGGGGAACAGCAAATAGTTGTAAATGGCTACAGTGTGCAGGTACTTCTGGGGGGCTGCTGGGTTATGTGACTGGAGAAGGAAGCAAGGGCAGCTCACAAGAGACTTTGTATGCCGCATCAGGCTCTTGTGTCGAAGCATATGGAGAACCGCTGCAGGCCTCTGAGCACAAGCGTGATACCTTGGATATATATTGCAGAAAGATTACTCTAGCCAATGGATTAGATCTGGTAGATTAGCTTGGAGGGTACGGAAATCTCGGTAAGGAAATCTAGAAAATCTAAGTAAGGCAGTAACAGGAGATGCTGAGGAACAAGGTTTAAAGGCTATTTCAGGTGAACAAAAAGTACAAATCCAGAACTTGCACTGTCCAACAGAACGTTCCAAGATGATGGAAATGCTCTGTATCTGTGCTGTCTATACCATGTCTGACCGGTGTGGTAGCCACTGGCCACCTGTGGCTGATGAGCATTTAAAATGTGGCCAGTGAGACTGAAACACTGGATATAAATTAAAGTTTAAATAGCTACATGGTACTGGTGGCTACCATATTGGCACAGCTTTAGAGAGGGTTCCAGGTTTCTGGCTTAGACAGCCCATGAAGTTCATGAGGATATCCGCAGCAGTCCCCAAGGGGGGACTGACTTTACAGGCGCTGAGTCTGAGGAATGGAGCCGCTGCGGGAGCTTGGCCTGCCCGGGCGCGTGGGACCCTGCTGGCAGCCCCTGGTGTGGCAGACTGGGCTGGGCTTCAGAGAAAACAACCCGGCTGCTGCCCTTACCCTAGGGGGAGGGCTCTACAGTTAAAGGGCCTGCTGCCTTGTAAAGGGGCAGTGGGACCTGGGAGCCCCTTCCTTCCAGCCGTGGCGAAGGGTGACTTTTGCAGTCCCTCCCCTCCTCTTCAGGTTGGCCTAGCCAGGGTGTGGCTGCTGAGCCAGTGGCCAGCGTCCCTGTGCAAACGTTAGACTTACTCCACTTCCATGTTTTCTCTACATCCCCAAATTCACATTTATATATCAAGAAAAAGCTTATTTGTGAGGAAACTCAACCAGCCCTCCCTGGCTCTGTCCTCGCAGATGCTGCTGGAGAAACTGAATGGCACAGTGCCCTGCCTGCTGGACACCAGCACCATCCCTGCTGAGGAGCTGACCATGAGCACCTCACGTTCAGTGGCCAACTCCGGCCTGAGTGAAAGCCTGGCCACGAGCACCCCCAGGGCCTCCAATGGCGACTCACCATCGCACCCCTACCAGCGCACCTTCTCCCCACACTTCCACCACTTCGTGGAGCAGTGCCTTCAGCGTGGCCCAGACGTGAGGTACATCCACCGCAGAGCATGGCCTTCTGGAGGAGCCCAGGGGGCCCTGGAGTTTCAGGCAGGGTTTGAGAGGCAGTGTGTGTCCTGTAAAGGTCTGGGCTTCCCAGAGGTGTCCAGAGCCCCCACAGCAAGAGGGAGCAGCGCAAGGGTGTGCTAAGAAGGGGCCCGGGTAGTTCTGGCTGTTGTTTCTCGTTCAGCTGAGGGAAGAAGCAGAGGAGAACTGGAGGAGAAAGACTAAGTGCCAGGATTTTGGAAATCTGGGGGCCAGGGCTGATGCAGGTCTCTCTTGCTCTTTCCCTGCAGACCGAGTGCCAGCGCCCTCCTGAACCACTCTTTCTTCAAGCAGGTACAGTGGCCCTTTGGCCGAGCTCCCAGCTCCCTTTCTTGCCTGGGGCTCTGACCACTCTCAGCCCCTTAGCTTTGGGGCCTCCGGGTAGAGTCTCCTCCTCCCTTTGGAGCAGCTGGATCCAAGCCCAACTCTCTCTCCGCCCAGATCAAGCGGCGTGCATCGGAGGCCTTGCCTGAGTTACTTCGTCCCGTCACCCCCATTGCCAACTTTGAGGGCAGCCCATCTCAGGATCACAGTGGAATCTTTGGCCTGGTAACAAACCTAGAAGAGCTGGAGGTGGAGGACTGGGAGTTCTGAGCGTGGGACCACCCTGGGACGCAGGAGCCTCCCGGGACCCTTCCTGAGGCCTGGCCACATCCCCACCCGCCTGGGTGCAGATTGCATAGAAAGGACGTTTCTGCCAGGAGAGCTGGCTGCCTACTGACCTGGAAAGAAATTCCTGGAGAGACTTTTCTTTACTGCTCCAGGGCTTTTGAGACACAAGGGAACCCCAACAACCAGGGATCAAGAGGGGCCAGAAAGCTGACATTCCTGTCCCATCAGCAGCTCAGGTGACCTCGTCAGAAGGAAGAGGTGCTCTTCTGGCCCGAAGTCCCGAGCCAAGGGTTTGACTCAGGGACTCAGGGACTGTGTGGCTTCCTCTTCCCACCCTTTCTCTCCGACCAGCCTAATTCTATCCTTACCCTCTGCTCTCAGATCCTTGGTCCACAGAGAGGCAAGCCATAAGCAACCTGCGCCCTTCCCGCCACCCCCAAGAGCTCTCCCTAATACCTGAAGGGAAGGCTGTTTCTCCTTGAAGCACAGGTTGAGGTTGGGGCAGTCCATCCTTATCCGTTGTATTGCTGGGGCCCTGACTCGTAAAATTTTCCCACAATTCATCTTTGTAGCTCATTCCTTGCCCACAAGAGTCCACCTCACAGCCTCCTGCCCGCTGCCTCGGTGCTTTCTCCAAGGGCCAGAATGTCTTGCCTAGCCTGAGGGCTTACATCCATATGCTATTAGTTTCATTACCAGAAAAAAATTAAATTTTTTTCCAAAGAACCCATTGGAGGGTGGAATTGTGTGTTGGCCGTACAGGTTCAGACATGAGTCATTCCCCCAGGTTCTGCCATCCGAGAGTTGTCCCATGAGTTGATGAGGAAGCATAGCAGTGACTTCTTTCAGTAGAGAAACAGCCTCACATCACACCAGTTTCTCTTAAAATCCGTAATAGATTGGTCTCAACTGTCTAAACTTTTGATGGCCTAGGGCCATCAAAACCACTTTGGGACTGGGAAGATCTGGGTGCTGGAGACCAGCCCCCTGCAGGACCTCTTCTGAATCACTAGGAGCCCAGCTGAAAGAGGCTCACTTTTGGCAGGAAAGGAGGTGGCGGGTTTTGTTTGTCAGCATGACTTGCAGTATCTCCTTACCATTGGAACCCAAAGAGCAGGTAACTGAAGAGCCAGACCTGCCCCCTTCTGTGACCCTGGATGCTGACCAGTGAATCCAGGGAAGGGGCGAAGCTGGCCTCGGTCCCCACGGCGCTTGGTGGCCTGCGTGTGCACCAGCCGGCAGTCCCTCGGGTGAGGCGCCCTCCTCTAGCTCAGCACTCCGAATGTCAGATTGCGGAAGTGCGCCTCCCTCTTCCCTGAAGCTGCTTTGAACCATCAGTGCCCTCACTTTGCCTGTCCTCAGAATTGTAACACCAGAAAGAAAACTAAAAGCCTCTTCCTCTGGGCAGTTACAGGGGTTGGCGTGAAGGGAATGACACCTACCAGGAGCTGGAATGGGGAGACCTGACATACAGTGAGAAGGCCAGATCACGTTTATTCCGACCCTCCTCCTTCCTCCACCCAACTTCTTTTTTTTTCCGCTTAAACTTCAAGTTCCCTTTTCTTAACACCATTATCAGCCTGTTTTCTTTCCTTGTGAACTGCTCTCTTCACGTTGCTGTCAGCTCATCCTCAACACCCGAGCAGCTGATCCTACGGTTGCTGTCTGCGGTTCAGCCATGTATCATCCTGGGCAGGGCGACCAGGCAGTGCCCACCGGCCGGCCTGGCCCTGCTCCTTGTGCCTGATGGCTTCACCTTCCTTGCATCACTACAGTCCCCTCTGAGAATGTGATGACAGATGTGAAAACTGTGGGAGGGATGCACATAAAACAGTTTTAGAAGTTTCTCATACACACTCCATCCAGGGAGTCCTCAGGTCTGCAGCTCAACCCAAACATAAATCTTCCTCCGGAGAGGGACAGGAGGCCAAGGAGAAAAGTGAAGAGCAGGATGGTACACTGGGTGAGCCAAGGGAACAGCTGGGGGCTGGGGAAGCCTGCTGCCTCCCTCCCTCCCCCGCCAGCCCCAACGCGGAGGCTCTTCTGTTCCCTGACAAGTGTGTGGGTGGCGCTCTGGAGCCACTACTTCTATTCCTGCGACAGTGTGGGAACAAGCTATGTTTAAGGCGGTGCTTCATGGCACAGCTTCCAGCCTAATGTCAGGCAGAGCCCAGCAGTTCCTGGTGCCCCAGTCGGCTGTGGTCTTGCTGCAGAAGTCCCTGTCCAGGAGGCCACTGCTGGGTGTTCCCAGCACAGCCGAGGCTCTATCACTGCAAGGGAGGGATGGTCACCTGCCCTCTGTGTGCCCCAGACCTGTGTGCAGTGTGTTGGAGACGCCAAGATGCCAACAGCTGGTTTGACCAGAGGGCGCCAACAGCTGGTTTGACCAGAGGGCAAGGAGTAGGGAGGGGAATCAGGGGGCTTGGCTTCTCATGCCAGCCCTGTTGTGCTAGCTTTGTTACTTGTAACAAATCACTTCAGATCATCAGGCCTCATTCCCTTCTGTCAAATGAGGTTTGGGTGCACCGAGATTTGCTTGTTTGAAGGATGCAAATCTCTCCGTTCTCAACCTCTTGCAGGCAGCAGTACCTAATGGGGCCGGGGGTGACTAGTCCCACAAAATGAGGCCACAGAAACCGTTTAGGACGTTGGGCCTTAGGAGGGCAGGTGCTCTGTGACACTTAAGGCACAGCGTCCCCTGTCCCCTTTTTACGGGTGTGCAGAAGGTGTTAAGAGGTGGTCGTCCCGCCAGACCCCTAGGGGAGGCCAGCCCTTAGGAGTGTGGGCGGCCGAAGGTGCCTGAACACAGGGGCCCCAGGGCCTGAACACAGGGGCCCCAGGGCCTTCTCTGCACCGCAGACCGGGCCTCGCAGCCTTGTGACCAGGCGTGGCGGGACCGCGTGCCGAGCCGCCGCTGCTATCTTCTTCCGCCGGCTGTGCGGACGCGCAGGGCGGCCCCCGGCGGTGGGAGGGCTCCGCGGCCCGAGGGGGCATGGGAGCCAGGATATGACCCTGGGCTGGCCCGCGGGGTCTATCAGACTGTGGGGCCCACCGAATGCCGGGCAGACAAGGGATCTGCAGGGCCTGCGCCCGCAAGGGCCAACCAGGGGAAGCAGAGGCACCCCGGTTATCTTTTTCTGCTCCAGGGGCTTCGCGGGGAGCGCCATTTGTCCCGCGACCCCAGGAGCCTCAACTTGAAATTCTCCCCGCTCTGGGGCATTCGGCGCCGGAGCCTCCGGCCCCGGTCCCTCTCTCCTTCCCAACGGGCCGACGGGGCGGCCGGTTGGCCGAGGCCTGCGAGCGCGTGGCCCGAGGCCGGTGCAGAGCGGCCGGGCGGGGACAGACAAAGACGGGGGACGAAGAGCGAGGGAAAGACAAAGCGCAGAGGGGCTCGGCGGCGACGACGGGGCCCCGGAGGCGGCTCCGGGAGCGGCGGAGCCAATGGGCGGGCGCGGGGCGGGGGCCGGCGGGGGCGGTACCGCGATAAGGCGGTGGCGGCTGCGGCCGCTCGGGGACCACTGGCAGCGGCGGCAGCTCGCGCCCGCGCCTTCCTCGCGCCCGAGGTGTCCCCGGGAGACCGAACCCCGCCCCGCGGCCCGAGCCGGGGCCCGGTGAGAACCGCGGGCGGGCAGGGGGGAGGGGCCTGCATCCGGCTCTCAACCCAGGGCGCCCAGGTGGGGGCTGCAGGCTCGAGAGACGCCGCCCGCGGGGTCCCGAGCCGAGCGCCTCCGCCCGTCGTTCTCACCCTTCAGGGCGGGCTTCCACTTGGAGGCGGGACCGAGCCCCCCTAGGCTGGGCCTTCGGGGGTCCTGGGTGCCCCCGGCGTGGGTCCAGGGACTGAGGAGCGGAGCGCTTTGTAGGCGGCTCGCCCGGCGGGGTGGGAGGCCGGGACCGCGAGCGCTGTCCAGGGACTGGGCCGGCCGAGCAGGGGCCGCCCGCGGTCTCGGCGCCTGGGCGGCCCGCCGGGCAGCTGGGGCCGGGGTCAGGCTGGGCCAACGGATTCTCTCCGCAGCCCTGCCCGGCTCGCCCACTCCTGACCTTCCCTCATCCCAGGCTGGGTCCGGGTTCGGGTTCGCGGGCGCTCGCGGCGGCTGCGCGGGGGCCCCCTCCCCCAGTCCCTGCCTGCGAACCCTGTTCTTCCCCCGACACATGGCACTCAGGGACCCCTGCCCCTTGGGGAGCAGCGTGGGGGGTGGGCAGGCGAAGGGGAGGTGGGTGAGGGACGGAAGTGGCAAGACCTAGAGCAACAGGAAATGACTTAGGGAAAGTCCCAACCACAGCCCCCCAGCCCCCTGCCTGTAAACACCCCACCCCCACCCTGCAGGCTGGAGAAGGGCTTGTGGGGCCCTCGCGATCGCGATCGACTTCCCCTTGCAGAACGCAGCGGGTGCGCGTCTCCACCCAGGGCCTCCATCACCTCCAAGAGCCATGTTCCAGGCTGCTGGAGCAGCCCAGGCCACTCCCTCTCATGTAGGTGATCCAGCTGGTGGGAGGGCTCCTGGGCAGGAGTCTGGCCTGGGGGTGAAGGGATAAGGCTCGGCATGTTTGCCTGCCACCCTTTACACCCCCCTGGGATCTCGGCTGGTGACCACAGCCATGGTCTGGGGCATCGCTCGGCTGACCCTGCCCTGACTGGCCCTCTCCCCCAGGAAGCCAAAGGCAGTGGTGGCGGCAGCTCTGTTCAGCGCTCCAAGGTAGGCGGTGAGGATGGGTGGGGGGAGGAAGCGGGTGCTGGCCAGGCCCTTGGCTGAGTCTCTCTCTGCAACAGTCCTTCAGCCTTCGGGCCCAGGTGAAGGAGACCTGTGCCTCCTGCCAAAAGACTGTGTACCCCATGGAGCGGCTGGTGGCAGACAAGCTCATTTTCCACAACTCTTGCTTCTGCTGCAAGCACTGTCACACCAAGCTGAGGTGCGCCCTCGCCCTGCCCCTTCCCTCCCCTTCCAGCCCTGACCTGACCTGATCACAGTTGTTCTGCTTCTGCAGCTTGGGCAGCTACGCGGCGCTACATGGGGAATTTTACTGCAAACCCCACTTTCAGCAGCTGTTTAAGAGCAAGGGCAACTATGACGAGGGCTTCGGCCGGAAGCAGCACAAGGAGCTGTGGGCCCACAAGGAGGTGGACCCCGGCACCAAGACAGCCTGAGGCCCTTCTGACCATCCACCCCCTCCACAGAGGGGCAGGGCAGGGGGAAGGATGGGAAAGAGATTGGACTTGGGCTCTGGTGGGCGGGCAGGTTGGGAAGGGGATGAGGCCGTCTTGCTCAGGCAGAGGGTTATAGGGGCAGGGTTCTGCTCCAGGATTCTTTCATTCTTCCTCAGTGGGTGTGGGTGGGGGTTTGGGAACCAGGAATGGGGTTTAGCTCACCACCCTGCCTCCAACCTATCCCACCTCACCACATGGTCCCGAAAGGCCCCCAAGCCCAGCTTCCCTATCTAGGTGCCTTTTCTCCAGCAAGGAGTCAGCATGCCCCCCTCAGGGTCCCAAGCTCCCTGCCTGCCACCCAGGGCCCTGTGTGGCCCCTATGTCTCCCCATCTACCTCTGCCCTTATTAGCTTGGTCCTGAGCCATGGAGACTGACTTGGAAGAAGGAGAGCCAGAGTATCCCCTGCTGGGCCTCACAGAATACCCACCAGGAGTCTGGTGGGGAAGAAGGGGGAAGTGGAAGCAGCCCTGCCCCCTGAAAAGCAAGGCTGGGGCATGCCCAGTGGGGCTTGGGACCAGCTCA